AACAATAATAATAATAAGCCTAACATCTGTGGTATGCAAGTTATTTGAGAAGATTCGGAGGGATAAGATATACATGCATTTGGAAAGACAGAGTTTGATTCGGAGTAGTCAGCGTGGCTTTGTGTGTGGCAGATCGTGTCTCACCAATTTGTTCAAGTTCTTTGATCAAGTGACCAGGAAGGTTGATAAGGGCAGGACAGTAGACGTAGTCTATATGGATTTCAGTAAGGCCTTTGATAAGGTTCCATATGGTGGGCTGCTCTGGAAGGTAAGATCACAAGGAATCCAGGGAGAGCTGGCCAAATGGATTCACAATTAGCTTGATGATAGGAAGCAGAGGGTAATACTGGAAGGATGGTTGTCTGACTGGAGGCCTGTGACTAGTGGATTGCCTCAGGGGTCAGTGTTAGGCCCATTGCTGTTTGTTATCTATATCAATGATTTAGATGAGAATGTACAAGGCATGATTGGTAAGTTTGCGGATGACACTAAAGTAGGTGGTATCGTGGACAGTGAGGAAGATTATCAGAAATTGCAGCAGGATCTTGATCAGCTGGGGAAGTGGGCCGAGAAATGGCAAATGGAGTTTAATATTGATAAGGGTGAGGTGTTGCATTTTGGAAAGTCAAATCAGGTAGGAGTTTCTTGGTGAATGATAGGGCCTTAAGGAGTGTAGTGGAAGAGAGGGACCTTGGAATTCAGGTGCATGGTTCTCTGAATGTGGAGTCACAGGTAGACAGGGCAGTGAAGGCTTTTGGCACACTGGCCTTCATCAGTCAGGGCACTGAGTATAGAAGTTGGGAAGTTATGGTGCAGTTGTACATGACGTTGGTGAGGCCGCACTGGAGTATTGTGTTCAGTTTTGGTCACCCTGCTATAGGATGGATGTTACTAAACTGGATAGGGTGCAGAAGAAATTTACAAGGATGTTGCTGCCAAGATTCAAGGGAGAGGTTGGACAAGCTAGGAGTTTTTTTTCCTTTAAAGCAGTGGAGACTGAGGGGTGTGGGAAGCAGAGAAAAATCTTAAAGAAGTGTATAAGATCATAAGGCATGGATAAGATCATGAATGCACTCAGCCTTTTTCCCCAGGGTTAGGGAATTGAGGACTAGAGGGCATCAGTTTAAGGTAAGAGGGGAAGAATAAATGGGAATCTGAGGAGCAACTTTTTGTACATAGAGGGTGGTACGCATATGGAATAAGCTGCCAGCAGAAGTGGTTGAGGCAGGTACATTAACAACATTTAAAAGGCATTTGGACAAATACATGGACAGGAAAGGTTAAGGATATGGGCCAAGTGCAGGTAAATGGGGTTAACGTGGATGGACAATTTGGTTGTCACGGACCAGTTTGGGCCAAAGGGCCTGTCTCCATGCTGTAGGAGTCTATGTGCATGGGATTAGCTGTGGACATTTGAAAATGGAGCAATCAAATATAACAGGCTGGCTTGAATTCTGGCATTGAGCAGATCAGAAATAAGTTATTAATTCTTTAAGTCTTAGCGAAAATTTGTAGCTCAGGTTATGGATGCGGTTCTTTGTTAGCTCACCAAATCAGTTGTTCTGTGGCGTGCAGATGTTTCGTTAACATTCTTGGCAACATCAGTACGACCTTGAATTGAAGCTTTGGTGTTCTGATCCATTCCGGATTTATGTGATCCTCTGGTATGGTGGGTCTTGTCACATCTGGTTATGTTGTTTTAAGCAGCAGTCTGTATACGGGGTCTATTTGTCTGTGTTTGTTTATGGGGTACTGTTGAGAACCAGGGTTCCACGAAATTCCCTTGCACGTCTGGTGTTCACTTGTCCCAGGATAGTCACTTTGTCCCAGTCAAACTGATGGCCCTCATTGTCTGTGTATCAATCACCTAAACCTCTCTACCCCTCTCACTCACTCCAACTTCTGCCCCATTGAACATGCAGCCCTCTGCTCCAACCCCAACCTCACCAAACCCACAGATAGCCAAGGCCAGGCACCAACTCTGACACCTCCTCCTACCAACCCCTCGACCATGACCACCAAAACAGCATCTCCCAGACCATTCACAACCTCAGGTGACCTCCCACCCACAGCGTCCGACCTCATCGTGCCCCAACCCCACACTGCCCGTTTCTATGTCCTTCCCAAAAAACCACAAACCTAGCTGCCCCGGCCGACCCATTGTCTCTGCATGCTCCCAGCGACTCACAGCTACCTGGACTACGCCTCCTCTCACCCACCTTCCTGCAAAAACAAAAATGCAATCCCCTACTCCCAATTCCTCCACCTCTGCCGCATCTGCTCCCGAGATGAGGTGTTCCACTCCCAAACATCCCAGATGTCCTCTTATTCCAAGGACTGTAACTTCCCCCCTCCGGTAATTGAAAATGCCCTCAAACACATCTCTTGCATCTCTCATACCTCTGCCCTCACATCACCTCCCCCCAACAAAAAAAAAAATTAGAGACAGAAATCACCCTTGTCCTCACGTCACCCCACTAACCTCCGCATCAAATGCATCATTCTCCACCACCTACAATCTGACCCCTCAACCAAGGATATATTTCTCTCCCCACCCCTATCTGCCTTTCGCAAGGACCTCTTTCTCTACGAATCCCTCGTCCGCTCCACATTCCTCACTAACCCTACGACCCCCGGCACCTTTCCCTGCAACCGCAGGAAGTGCTACACCTGCCCTACCCCACCCACTGACCTCCCCTCACCTCCATTCAAGACAAAAAAACAAAACAAACTGTCGACATCAGACATGGGTTCACCTGCACATCTGTCAAACTTGGTCTGCTGTGTCTGCCACACCTGACGTGGCCTCCTCTGCGGTGGGACTAAATGGAGACTCGGAGACCATTTTGTAGAACATCTGCGCTCTGTACATGACAAACACCACCAACTTCCCGTCGCGAAATATTTTAACTCCCCCTCCCACTCCCTGAGCAACATGTCCATCCTGGGCCGCCTCCAGTGTCACAATGACGCCACCCGCAAACTGGAGGAGCAGCACCTCATTCTGTCTCAGGAGCCTACAGCCCGATGGCCTAAATGTGGATTTTACCAGTTTTAAAATCTCCCCACACCCGGCCTCATCCCATGACCAATCCTCCCTCTCATCCCTGCCTCCTTGACCTGACAACCTGTCCATCTTCTCTCAAACCTATCCGCCCCTCCCACCTCACTGACCAATCCCCACCACTCCCTACCTGCACTCACCTATCACCATCCCACCTATCTTCCCCAGCCTCAGCTCTCCTGCTCCTCTGAAGCTGCCTGGCCTGTTGTGTTCCTCCAGCCCCACTGTGTTATCTCTGAATATTGGCAGTGTCTTTTTACTGCCAGCTGGTGCTAGTGTATCCTGGTCATCAGTTTCCTCCCTGTTTGTCCAATGTAATCTTTATTGCACTCACTGTATGGGGTCTCTATTCTTTGATAACATTTGACATAGTGTTGATGTAGATTTGTGTGCAATCGTGATCACAGGTAATCTAAGGAGTCTGGTTGTCATTTCTGATATCAAAAATATATAAAAATTACATTGGACAAACAGGGAGGAAACTGACGACCAGGATACACGAACACCAGCTTTCAGTAAAAAGACATGACCATCATTCAGAGATAGTAGGAACTGCAGATGCTGGAGAATCCGAGACAACAAGGTGCAGGGCTGGATGAACACAGCAGGCCAAGCAGCATCATAGGAGCAGAGAGGCTGACGTTTCGGGCCTAGACCCTTCATCAGATGAAGGGTC